GAAATCCCCACCTCCTAGCAACAAGAAGTTAACATATTATACAAATAAAACCAATTCACTATAGCTTTATGGTCTCAAGACTAAATTAAAACAAAAGAAAATATCCTGCATTCCAGTTAAAATGAACAAAATCACCAATAAAAACTGCCATCTCAGTAAAAAGTCAAAACTAATTAAAGACTGTCAATGAAATTAGGTGGGTCAACTTTAAGGAAGGTAACTTGCAGTGAATTACCTTCAGGCACTTTCAGCAGATAACTAGTTTAAAAAAAACAGCTTGATATTTTAATAGAATGTGAGTAGTGACATATCTGTGACGTGATAAATCTGTTAAATTTCTATGGTACAATAATCACTCCTATTACTAAGTTCTTGCAATTCTGTATCATTGTTCCTTATATAAACAATACATTCAATATTAACTTTCTATTTGTAGGACAAAAGTGACTGTAGCTTTTTCAGCTAAAATTCTATTATTCCCAAACCTAATTACTCTCTACACTTTAATTGCAGATATCCTCTGTCAGTTGATAGTGCATACATGCCAAGATCTGATACAACAGAGTGAGTCAGTATATTTTTACATTGTTTTTGTTAAGGAAAATGAAACAATCTCAGATACAAAACTTTATCTGAAATCATTGCAGTAAGGTCATGCTATAGACTTGTAATTTCCATTTATGCTTTGAAAAGAGCACACTGAAATTATACAAGCATGTCTATAATTGGGTATGTTCTTCACTATGTATATATTGAATGCTAGTTTTATAGTTTCTTGGGAGCACTTCAAAAAACACAAAACTAAGTTCTCTAATCTTGGAATACTGCACCCTATGGTGCATCTAAAAACATGCCAGGATAAAAAAGGCATCATATGCAAAATTGACTTACAAAAATTAAACTTAAACAGGGCATTAAAATAGAATAATGCTTAGAACATGACTAAATACTTGAAATTCATCAGAGTAACTTACTTGATGTAATTATATTAAACACTGCACAAATGCTGGGCAATGCTTACAATATATTACTTTTTTCAGTATTTCCTAATTTGTAACTGCCTGTACCTGAGTATCGTTGGAAGAGACAGATAATCTGTCATCAGGTAAAGATGGTGTATAAGCAACAGAAATTGGAGTCCCTGGAATTCCATTTGCCTGAATGTTTTCACTGTCACTGCCATCCTCTAATGTCACGATTGTGCCATCACCACCTGCAGTGCCTTCCACATCTATCAGAAAAGATGTAAAAGTTACAAACAAATGTTACATATGAATGCAAATTAAAAAAGCTTTTAAATCTAACATTTAAATACTAACATAATCAGAGGCAAAGAATCATAAGGGGGACCTTAAGGCAGAATTTACATGACATTATATAACTAAAAAAAAAATTAAGATAATTTTAATACTCACTATTGAAAATAAAAATATATAATGACTTATAACTTCACTTTTCCACAAAGTAATGAAGGGAAAAAAAAAGTTGCTAATCTGATATACACTTTCCTCCAAACTTAAAATTGTAGCTACATTGTTACTACAGAGACAGACTCCTCTGTCAAGAGCTTATGTGGAAACAAAACAGGAAAATAAAAGAAACAAGAATTTATATTTTAAAACCAGAATTAGTCCCCAATACAGAGAATGTAAATTAATGTATGAAATCTTGTCCATTTTACTATTAAATAATGCACAGCTAAGGTCAGAAAATTGTAACTGTTTTCTTCAGAGCAAGTTATTTAAATAATGATGTATTTAGTTAAATGTTCAGAAGTGATAAAAAAATTGCTAATGTCAAGTCACACTGCAGTTGCTATTGACTAGACAGATATTAATATAATACCTCCAACTACTATGTTCACCATTTCCTGCACAATTCTTTCTACAATTTCTTGTGCCTTCTCTTCACAGTCATTGCTTTCACCATCATATGTTTCGCCATCAGCTTTAGAAAGATCTTTAAAAACAAAAACAAAGCCAAACAAGTATTAATGAGAAACTCATAAATTAAGGTGGCATTTTATGTGCATTTCATATTTAAAAACTCAATTAAAAATCTATTAATAGGAGAGTATACGTTAAAAGAGCCATGTTTGGATGCTTTGAAAAAAGTATTTGCAGATCCATAAGCATTCCAATGTAACCTGTAATGGTAATTAATCCACAGACCTATGCCAACAAAAGACATACATTTTAAATTTTCATGTACTTTAAACACTGAAAACTTACTTATTTTGAGATGTCATTGTCAAAAACTTCCACAATATTACATAGGTGCAAAGAGCATCTATGCTACAGGGACTACAAAAGTGTAGGACCAAAGGATACCCATGATAAAGTGTAACAGTGGTAACAAGGACAACAGCCATTTCACATTTGCGAATTACTTGAAAATCTATGCCTGTCTCCAGATTTCAGAGAGGGGAAAAAAGACAATCCTCAAGCCTTTCTTTTAGCAGATCTTTTCCCTCCCTCCATGAAACAGAAATACACACTGATTACTTTCTGCTGCTGTGGCTTGGTCAGCTTCTGTCTGTTCATTTTCAGCACTAGAAATATCAGATCCATTTTCTGCTTCTATATCTTCTTGAAGATTCTTGTCCACGTCACTTGTGCTATGGTCAAGCTCTCTCTCGTGTTCTTTGGACAGCTGATCAGTCTGTGCTGGAATATGTCTCAATTGAGGTGACTCAGGCTCATGATGGCTTACTGGAGACTGCTGTAAATGGTGTTGCTGTCTGTGTCTTTCCTTTTCCATCTGTTTGGCTTCCTGAAGCTACAAAAACATTGCAATCATGCAAGAATTTCATTCTCAAAAAAACCCCAATGAGCTGTATGCATACTGTATACATTACTTTATAAACATGAAATCTCTGTTGTTTTCACTTACAAAGTGCCTTGTTCTAACAGTTTAAGAAAATGCATCCTTTGTATTATTATAAATAATTTTAAGATCTCAGGATAAACCTTTGCAAGAGGGCTGCTTCCCAGCTATGCACATTACACTTAACCATGCCTTCACTGCGGAAGAGGGAGCTCCAAACTACACATAGTATAGGACCAAGAGTTTTCTGCCTGCTCTATAAGGAAGTTCAGCAAGGAGATGTGACAACACGGAGAAAACAACAAGGCAGATTTTTTTTCTTTTTTAAAAAGCTCTCACAAAGAGAAATACATTAGAGAACTTAAAGAGTCTTTTGTTATCCTACAAGCATGTGGTATTAATGGAAAGAATTAAAAAAAACAAAAAACTGACTAAACATTCAAGGGAAAAAAAAATCCAACAAACACAAAATAACAAAAAACAGGAGTTAAAACTGAAAAGAACAGCACGTCCAAAACTAGTGCTAAAGACAGATCCTCAGGAAGAAATTATCATACTTAAAACTGTAAGCCAAAGACTATTTTAGCTTTGGGGTTCCTTGATCTGGATTCCCTTGAAATGGAAGAATTTCTGTGACTTGTCTAATAGACTGAGAAAACAATCATTAAAGTCAAACCAAAGCAGGGTGTTCTTTGAGGCGATAACCAAAGGACTGGCTTTCTATCCCTGCAGAGCCTACTGTTTACCAACAGTTATGGTAATGTTTTATATGTTATTTTGGCTACTATGATTTCAGCCCTTTACTTCTCCACTTAAAGCTTTCTACGCTGCATCTTTCAGGGTGCTTCAGATCCCCAAGAACATACTACCTTTCAAATTACAGCTCAAATAATTCCTTCTAGCATTGATTTGCTACCATATTAAAAAAACTGCCCTGAGTGTGCTAAATAAGCAGACTGCTTATCAGCTTGCATAAAGACTAGACTTACAGTCTGGCAAAAATGAAGGTTTCCATTGTAGCATAACAACAACATAACACTTCTGTATTAACTTGCCTAAAAGGACAGTAACTGCACAGATTTCTCAAAGCACTCTGGTACTGCATGGCTTTTGCCATGACTTACCATAAATATGATGTCTCATAAATCTTTGAAAGTGATGGTACCATGTACCAATATGCAGCTGCTTCTGAGACAAAAGTAGCTAAGAAGATACTACATATTCTTAGAGTTGGTAGTAATACAGCAGAATTATGTCTAGCAGTAGCTAGGAATTTGACCAGTTCTCAAATCTGGGCATCTGCTTTTTGGTTCGCTGGGGTTTGGATGTTGTTTTTTTTAATAGGAATTAATACAATTACTTTGCCTTTTTGATCTTTATTATCTGGAGTAGAAGGCACAGGGCATATACTGGGGTCCCTGTTGACAACTCACAATAGCAACTTCAGTGACATGTTTCTTAGTGGCTACTACACATTAAAATGTTTAAAAATGTAAATGATTACATGACTGGCAAGATTTTTTTGTTTGTTTCGGGGGTTTTGTTTAGTTTCAACCATGGATTACTTCCTCAGTGTTTATCATCACAACAGCACTGGAGCATTTCACTAACACTAATGTATTCCATACGCACTCTTATGCAGGTAGTGCAGCATCTCTTGACAGCCTGACAATAGAAACTGAATGGACACATAGGACTAGCACAAGAAGTTTAAATCCTATACATCACCCCCAACTCCAAACACATTTTACACACTACTTAAGAGTGCAAAACTCAAAAAGAAGGTAAGATACCAGATCCTTTTTACTCCAAAAGTAGTCAAGTTAGGAAAGTACAAAAATATAATAATCATGACAAAACAAAAATAAATCTCTCAAGCTGGTTTGCTTTTAAGAGCTATTTTCTATATAGATTACCAAGATACTCACTGCTTGATTTTCCATACGTGCAAAAATGACATTCAGCATTTGTGTAAGGGTGGCCTTGGCTGTGGTTTGATTTATGAGATTTTTGCTTGCTAGATAAATATTGTAACATGTTCTTACAGCCTGTAGCACAGTTCCTTCGTGGATTTCTATATGTTGAGATGTTACTGCAGTAAGCAAGGCCTAAATAAATAAATAAACACACACATATGTATTTCCCAGTAAAATATTTTCTTGTCAATCAAATTAATAATTACATACATTTTATTACTTTTAAACTGTAACTAAGCACATATCTTGAGCTGCAGTTCCATTAAGTTTTCCCATGTACTCTCATTGCCATATTGGAACATTGTAAATAGCAGTTATATTAAATTGAGAATGTTTTTAATCAATGTATCTAGGATATGTATATTTCATAGTATATAACAGCAAGAAGTAACCAATGGAGTTACTAGACAGGTAGCTACTATGTCACCATAGAATTTTCTAGACACAAAACATGACCAACTCGTTAAAATCTGGAAAGCAATCCGAAGGGTTAGAAGTGGTCTTACAAATAAACATAAAGGTGAAAAACAAAGACTGAATATGAGATTAGGCAGTTATACGTGGGACACCTACCCTTTCTAAACTCTCTTTGGGTAGATGCTAGAATATCTGAAGAAATTAACTTCTTTCTTTCCATTTGAGCTAGTATCTGCTTCTCTTTTTTCACCAAAAATATGCAACTAAACCTCTAAAAGATCAGGTAACAAAGAAATAAGGAACATGTTATCTTTATGTGAGAAAGAGACAGGCTGAAGTAACTCCTTTGTGCCACTTTCTATCTCCTTATCAAATTCCTGACTACCCAAATTTAACACCTGAAAGTACAATTTTAACTTCCATTTCAATTCAGCAACATCTTAAGGGGTGTTTTCCCCAACTTTTAATGATATGAGACAATGCCTCTTAGTAGAGACAGGTGACAAGGCTACAGACTGATTATGTGATATTATAATTGGCTTAACAGCCTGGATTTCCTAAGTTTCTTCAGTATGCTTGTTCTGACTACTAGGCCTTGACTCTTTTCACACCACCTGATAAGAAGATGTGGAGGTGAAGAAATATTGACACACACACAGACATACCTCTTTAACAAATTAATTCAAATTCACTGAATAACTATATCTTATTTGCAGACTGAGAAATCAGTCTCTCCAGCAGGGCATCTATTTGCAGACATCTAACTACTGAAGAGTTAATTTTCATTACAGAATTCCTGACAGTCACTTCTTTGGGTTTCTTCCCTACTCAGGCATTAGAGATAATGAACCCTAATGACTACTATACATTTGTAAACTGTCAAGAATCTAACTTTTATCTTTTGGTAATATCTTTCATATTCCTTCCAATTTAGAGCCATCCTTACACCATTAGTCACACTTCATGTCTCAGGGCCATTTCTTCTCCTCTACTATCATAATCTAACAGAGATATGAGAACAGACATAAAAGAGAAAGTATTTTACAATTACTTGCTGACACCATCCTTAGTAGCTTTCATTTAGGGCTCAAACTGAGTGCATGCCCTAAATGTCAACTCATTTTGTATCATGGAAAAGTACATCATTACTACAACTGGCATGAGAGCTAAACCTGTCAAACCACAGGTTACAATCAGGAACAGTCCTGCCCCTCTGAAACACTTATCAACTCAGATGTTTGAAAACTTATCCTTCCCTTTCTCTACTTTATCATCAGATTAGTCCTCAGTCCCACTCTATGACCAAATAGCTATTAGGTCCAATGCAAGGAGGAAGAGAAAGGTGATGGATGAGTTGAAGACAACCACCTTAGAGGTAGTTCTCAGTTAAGCAGAATTATACAAAATCTCAAACTTCTACACATCAATGCATGTCCCTGAGAGGTGGAACAACAAAAGCTCTGACTTCCGTTCAGTCATACACTCTTACTGCTTACTTTGCAACAGTTCTGGAGCATGAAGCCACCTATGCTATTTTAAGGGCAATGCATTAGTACAATTAAAACCAAAACAGAACAAAAAAGCCCATGCACTTTTCTGGTGTTTGGTTTTGGATTTTCTGTTCTAAAAGTGGTTTTAGCTGATCCAGATTATTAAAAGCATATCAGGCCATGGGATGGGGTAGAACAACATCTAGGAACAAAACCCAGACAGAAAAAAATGCTTGCCTGCAGAGGTCAGAACAGCAAAGCTACCACAGCAGCTCTGCTGACTGGAGCTGCAGCATTAGGTTTGCTCTTTTCTACCACGGTAAAGATTTGCTGTTCAAGGCTTATTGCAGCTGAGTTCCCACTCCTTGTCACACTTAGCTCATCTGTTTTCATCCAAATATCTTCAGTGTGAGCTAAGGAGTGATGATTAAAGGAAAGCCTACTTTTCTGTACTCCTCCCCTTTGCTGTTCTTCAGGCACGGAAAGAAACCTTTCTAATATGACTAACTTTTGGAAAAACATAGGAGACTTAAGTCCTTAAACCACAAAGCAAAAACTACATCAAATAACCTTTACAGATAAATGATTTTTCAATGAGCGACACACAGAATGCAGTGATATAGTTCTCCATACAAAATTTTCTTTGTGAGCAAAGTTTAAGATTATGCTTTTTATCATTTTCAAATTATTCAGTCAACTGTGTTACACGTTTACGACAGCTTTAAAAGATTTACATTTACCCAACATTATTTACCAACTTCAAAGACCTATGTAAATAGGTCATATAGGTCATACTCATAAGAGTATGAAAAATAGAAAAACACAGTGTTTGCTTCCAACAGGCTTTCACAATCAAGACAATTATTTAAATTAACAGTGTCATATGCTAGATTCTGCACCAGTAACAACAATTCATTAATTAACACTTAGTAATTGATTAAAATTAGTATTTTTTCTATTTAACATCAATTTTAAGAAAAAACAATCCATATTCACATGCATGTGGTCAGTTACCAGCCCTGAAACAAACTGAAACAAACGACTGTGGAGATTGCAGAAACAACAGAACTATATTCTAGTTTCTCCTATGGAAGATAAATATTTATCACTGGAAAGCTAGGTGTTCAAAATGAACTAGAATCTAATATGGAATTAAATGGATAGGTATTTTCCATGAAAACATTACCTTTCTCTAAAAAATGCAACTGTAAAATGACAGGACAGCATATTCAGCGTAAGTAACCAGTCCTAGACATTAACTTAAGATGAAAGCCTCAAAATACAAAGCTTCAGAAATAAAACCTCCTGCTTCATTACTATAAATTTAATTCTCATATCATTCCAGAATCCACAGCTCCTTTGAATCTCAGCGGGAGGACTTACGTTTTCTACCATCTTTTTATAGAAAAAAATAACACCACTTCTACATGATATTGTGGATGATTAAGTTATTTTGATAGTATATCAAAGTACTGAAACATAACAGGATATGGAACCGAGTATGTTTTTTCTAAGAGTCTTCTCAAATTGGAATCTGTTTTCACACAGGTTTTATAAATTCTGTCAAACCTGTCATTCTCCTTATTCCTCAGAATTAGTTGGCTTTCACGGTCTTCCCATTTTGTAATCCAAAAATGAGTTATCCTCTATTTTTAGTTAGTTTCAAAAGGCACCCTGTGCAAGCAGCGTTTGATTCAACACTCCTTCACCCATGGACACAGGTCATACTGACAGTGTGACTAGTTGTAAAAAGGCATATAAAGGCATCAACCTTATGAACAGTCCACTGCACATGGAAGACTCAAAGTGGTCATGAAAATAGCATTCAACTTTTCAAACTACTGCTATCAAGCACACACAAAACTTTTTCTTTGCCAAACATAAGCAACTTAAGCTATAAAAATTATCTAGATAATAAAAACACTGACTATACAGCAGACAAGGAAAGAAGACACAGGTAAGGATAAACAGTTGATCTTCATGTCCCTTCCTTCTTCATTCCTGTTCTTTCTCATAGATTTAAAAACAAACAAACAAACAAATTTTTTGTCATAATTGTAGTTCTTCAGAAAAAAAGAAAAAAAGGCTAGACAGAAACGTAAACAGAACTTCAACTAAAATCTCTGCGGGTGTGAAGAGGAAGTTTTTACACACAGTCATCGCAAATGCCATAGTAGCCCTAGCAGAGCAAGCCTGAAGACAGAAATGCTCAATCAAGGGAGGCTGTTTCAAACATAATTTGAATAAACAATTTGCAATGGAAACAGAAGCCTAATTCCTTGCTTTTTTTCTGTCCTAGCAATCCCCACCATAAGAACTGAACAAGAACTTGCACAGCTTCCCATCAAAACTATACCAAAACAAACTAAGCTACAAGAAGAAGGAAGAAAGGAAAAGGCCAATTTCCCAGTCTGGTTCATCATGGAGTCTGCAGATGAAGAACACAGGGATTAAAAAAAATGAGAATATGCAAGCAGAAATAGTAGCATGAAAGGTAAACTGGCCACCAACTGTCATAACATACTTCTAAGCTTAGATACCTAAAAAGAGACAAATTACATTCCTCAGTATCAGCAAGATTATTTCCTTGGTAGTCAACCAGAATGTCTAAGTGGCTCTGGTTACTGGGAACGTGCTTAAGGTGACTCCACCAGTGCAAAGACATCCAGTAACCAGCAAAAAGCACCATGTGCTAACTCTGACCTAATCCCAGCTCCCAGATCTTAGTCTGAGGGTAGCATGCTATGTAATGAGCATCCACCCAGCATACAGAACCAAGATAACCCTCCAAGAAGGTGCCTGAGTGATCACAGCTCTCAGTTCTTATGATGGTGTTGGTGATGCAACTGTGCTGCAGGAACACTGCTTGTGTTGTGAATTACAGCCTGAGAGTGCCAGCACAGAAGTGGGAGACCCAGGTCCCTTGCTTGCTATCTCTCTGATGGAATTAAAAATCTTCAGAGAACATACAGATCACCAGGACTACAGAAGAGTCTGAAAAGACACATGATCCATCCTACAAATCATACTGAAGAAGGAACATCCACATTCAGTCTACAACTGAAGATTTATGAAGTCTAAGGGAATACAATTGACTTAGCATTTTCATTACTCCCCCCAAAGAAAAAAATCTGGGGTTTGCTAAGGTTATTTCTAATTTTCATGCTTTTTATAGTGTCCACTGTACTGGACAAATATAGAGTCAAAGCCAAAACAGTACTCTCCACTTTCACAGACATTTTAACATGGCTATTAGCTACATCTAAACAGTCAAAAAAGGAAGGCACAAAACACATTTTTGCACACTTAATGAATTTTACAGTTATTGAAGAATTTACTGTCTCAACTATTTTCTTGGACAGAAGGAGTATCAGCTCACACATAACCACCTTTAGGCAGGGAGGACTGGAATAAAAAGCATGTGGAGAGAAGGTGTTACAGTGAGAGAGAGAAATCATGGTTTCAGTCAGTTTAAAATAACAAAAACTTCACAAAATGAAAGATTACTTAAATGCTTGGGCAAAACAAATCAACAAATCAAAACAGCAGCATAAACCAACATTTGTAGTAACTATCTGCTGGAGAAGTGGAGCATCAGGAAAAAGGAAGATTTCAGCTGCGAAAAAGAACAGGAGAACAATCAACCTGCTTTGTAGCAACACAAGTATATACAGTCTGAAAGAAAAATCAATACCTCATGACACCTACACAAGAATACAAGGTAACAAACACTACATTCCACAAAAATAACTTTTGCTGTGTTTTTCACTACTGCTCATCATCACATCTGTTCAAAGACTATTGTTACAGGTATTTCCACTAAGTGGCTAACTTCTATTAGTTGGCATAATGATTTCCCATAATTAATGGATGCAATCAAAAAATGGCAAAGGTTCCCCAGAAACACTTATTTGTACAAAGTCCATTGTGCAGTGTTTATATAAGCTATGGAAAGAAACCTTAGACCTCCTTCAAGCAAAAGTATAATGACTCAGCAGCACAAAGCTACCATGGTAACATCTGACTGCCAGGTCTAATTGCATTTCATAAAATAATTCCGAAATGGATTTAAAAATCTGCTGCTTAATTACCATCTTCCCTACTGGGAGTACAGGATTATTTGATAGTAATTCTCACAATTAGAGAGCTCCACCAATCTGCTGTGAATGAAATTTTACCCAGTGGTCTAAGCACGAGACCTCAGGTCACAACCACGAACTCAAAATGCAACAGGAGCAGGGAAAGGAGCGTAAGAAAGGGAGTTTACATCTCAAACAAACAGGATCAAGAAAATATTTTATTAAATACCATTACATTCACAAATTAAACATTTCTGCTTTTGAACTCTGAGGTCATGAATGTCTTCCTGCTATCACCACTAAAAATACTGGAAGTATTGATCAGATTACCTTTATTATTTGTAGCTGAACCCCTTCGTCTGTTTGAGGGCCTTGAAAACAACCACATATTGTCTCAATAATTCTATCAATTAATTTTTTGCCTGGAGCTGTACTGTCTGGAGCATTCCCTGTCAAGTGTCCATATGCTATAAGTTTCTGGAGAGGAGAAAAAAAACATAAATAGGAGCTTAAAAATAAGTCCGCTTTTAATTTTAATAAATAATTTCATTTGATAGCTCTAACTGACACAATATTAATAAACCCAGTATATTTTATCCCAAGTCTCATAAAACATGATGAATTTTTTTAAAGGCCCTCCAGATTTATTCAGCTTTCACTCAGCAACAGCAATACAAAGTTTGTCAGCAAACTTAACATTAAAGCTTTTGTTAATCAGTTAACAATGTTTTAAGCCAAGCAAGATTCTGAAAACTAACTCACATCACACAAGTCTTCATATGTAGTCAGCACACACAAATGTTTTTAACAACAAATAAACTGGCTACAGATGCTTTTTATTTAAGCTACTAGATAGTCTACTGTTTTTAAGAGCTCTATCATTATTTTCTCTCCCTAGGACTTTGATATTTTTAAAGTTAATTTATTAGAGAATTAACTTAAATCCTCTTCTGAATACTTTTGGCACAAAAGAATTTGCAAAGCACCATGGCCCACCTTCTTAAAAACACACAGAGCAAAAAGGCATCACAGGGCAACACCAAGTGCCTGTGAATGTAAATGTATTAATTGAGTTCACTGTTGTTAGGCTGCTCAGGAGAAGTGAATAGCTAAATTCTATGCTGCAGGCTTTGTTCTGAAAACATTACAGAAGCCAATGAGTTTTGAGAGAACAGACAACTCACACTGAAAATATTTTGCTGCAATTATAAATAGCAGAAAATTAGTTTGCTAATTCTATACTTGCTGTGTTAGTTTGACCACATAAACATGAAAACAGGTAGTCGCACACTGACGCACTAAAGCTCATCCAAATACGTCTGTGATAATACGAACAGACAAACACACGTACCCGGTACATAATAAGTAAGATTTAAATTCACTTTTTGTCAGAAATATATTCAAATTGCTTGTGTGTGCAGTAAAGTAAAATAATACAAAAACAATTACATTATTTGTTACATACAATCGTCCTTCTCCTTCAAACCAACAGAAATGGTAGTTGACAATAAAAGTTCTTCATACAGACCTGTAAACAATCTAGAGATGTACTGACAATCCTGGGGCACTTGGACTGGCATGCCAATTCAAATGGCAGGAAGTATCTGTCTGCTTCAATGAAGCTTGTCTTGGATTTCACAGGTGGAAGAGTGCTTGAACCAGGCTTTGCTTCTCCATGAGGGGGACTAAACAGAATGACTGTATTAGAATGCTGTAAGTGATCACATAAATAGTTCTCACCAATGTTTATGAATGAAATAAAAGAGCAAGAAAATTAACATTAGGAAAGAATAACTTCTGTGAAGTTAACACAATGGCAATACGTTTTCATAAATATTCTTAACAGCTGTTACACTTTACTTGATCAGTAATGAAGTCAGATGAACTGACCCATTTGCACACTAAGTAGATATTCAGTAGTCGCTCATGGTTTGAAGGCATAAAGACTTGCTGTCCCCCAAAACTGGAAAATACTCCCTTTGCTTGGTTGGTGAAGGCAGAGGGGAGAATGGGAAATTTATTCAGCATAATTTCCACATTCCATGATATTTCCCAGAGAAGTCTAGGCAGAAATTTTACTACAAGAACAGATAAAAATACAACTTGCCAAAAATATTTCTCTTTCTGCCCCCCCCCCCCAC